TTGAGGTCATGTGTCATAATACACAAATTTTATTTTGAATACGTACCAAATATTTATTATTTTTTCAAAAAGTTTAGCTAAGTAATGAGCATAATTGTTCTCTTCCTAAAAAACAATTCTTTCAACAACAAAACCCTAAGTCTTAGGTAAAGCCCTAGGCAAGAGATGTATGACTTAGAAATAAGTGGTGAAGAAGTGAAGAAATTGAGTAAGGAGTGAACATGAGCAATTGCAAAGTCTTTTGAATGTTATGAATGAGAATACATGCACAGTTGTGGGAGAAAACATGTATATTGTTAGCACAACTGTTACTTAAGTTATGTAACCTAGGAAGAATTAGTCTCAGCTCTCTACGTTCTTACGCACTCACACAGCACCTTCTTTAAATTTTGTAAAATAGCATTTTTAAAAACTTTTTAAAATTATGTCTCATTTTCACTAGCCTGTACACATCCTTTCAGGAAAAAAACTGTGGCTTTTGGTATATTCGATTTGTAAGGCCTAACACAGTGCCTTTGGCTGAAAATACACATATGATTATTGCATATGTTGTGTATAATATAAACAAGTAGTTGAATGAGAGAAAAAAATATGTAAAAATATTCCTAGAAAAAGTGATCCCTCCTAAGCTATCACCATATTATTCAACTCAAAAATTCACGTGTTTTTCCAAATATAGAGGAAGAAGAGAGATATAAACACATTGAAATATGACAGTCACTTCTAAAAATGGAAATCATTTTCCAAGTTTCATTTTTAATACACAGGATATAATAATCTTTCCCTCCCAAGAAAGTGCTCTGGCAATTCTGAAAAATAATAATGCACGGGAAAAATTGAAGCCTGTTTTTAAAATAAATTTTGGTGGCAGTTATGAGTACAGCATGATGGTTTTTTGTTATATAAGAGTAGTTGTATTGGTTTAAGTTATTCTTCTATAGGGTTGTTTCACCTCAGTAGGAAAAAGACATGTAAATGTGTTCAGGATATTGTTACACATTTATATAAGGAATGCTAAGGAGGCTTCTTTTGCCCCCTGAAATTTTTCATTGCTGAGATTTTGAGAAGTGGTCCTACTATAACTGATCTCATGCACAATCAACATGGCAGCACCAAAAATCACATCTACCATTGCTGCTACCATTGCTGGCATATGCTGTAAAGTTAAATTGTTTCCAAATTTGTTTTAAACTGAGGATGGACTTCACTGAGGCAGGAGAATAAGATGCTCTATCCAATTTTAGATGCTCTTCTAGCCTGCACCATCATTCCCCAAAAGGACAAATTCTTTTGTATTTGACTTAAGGTGGCATGTTTACATGGAGTCCTATTTCCAGATGTCAAGAGTAGATATGACAAGCACAAAAATAATAACTGTGTGCTAGTTGGCAATCCTTAAGCCAAACATAAGAACACAAGCAAAAGCATTTCATTGGATGATTGTCTATTCACATAAAGTCTCAACTGTGAAAGAAGTACCTATGAGGTTGATTACTTCTCCAGCAGTCTCACAAGAACACATCACCTTTAGATGTTTTCACAATCTAAAATTGTCAAGGTCTGAAACCTGATATATTAGTAGAATTGTAGCAAATTCATTTTGCAGATGTGTTACAACTCAAAGAGCAGAGAATACCTATAAAAACTGATCCAACATGCAAAATATGCTAATTTTACAATAAATACTAAACAATGTCAGATGGACTAAAGCACACTGGAGGGCAATCCGGAATATTTTTTTAAAAGTGGGGAGCTAAATCATACTCCTCAAAAAAGAAAAGAAAAAAGACAGAAAAACTGGAAATTATATAAATCAAATGAAGTATAGAAATCAGATTTTAGCTCAACAACATCCCGATTTGCCCTAATATTTCACAGTAGAGATAGGCCACCTGAAGACTCACCAAGAAGCTAAGGGTCCACCTCCATGAGGTGGCCTTGGCCTGGGACTACTGGGCTTATGGGCTAATCAGATTCATTCATTGTCCTTTCCTTTATTTTTTTATGTTATACTTTCTTTTCTTTTCACACAATCACTACCAAATCAATTTAGGTCCCCATCTTCTTATAACAAGTCCTGAGTGGTCTACCTACTGCAAATCTGTCCCATTGTCCAGCTCCAAAGATTACAACTATATAAATCCACTTTAAGTATGCTTCTCATCCATGAAATTATTTCTGAAAATGTGAACCTGAAATTGACCCTTGCATTTTTTAGACTCATTTGACATTTAGTATATCTGAAAATGATCATTATATGTGGACATTTCAATTTCTCAATTAGAATATAAATTGCCCAATGGGGAGATAATACATTTTGCATTTTTTATATCCTGTATATTAATTGCCTTAAGATCCTCAGAACTGACTCTACATACTTGAAGGTAGAGCAGCTGAACTTCTCTAGAGTCCAATATAAATATTGGAAAGCAATGTCCGTAACAGAAGAGAGAAGTTGCCCTTTGATGTATCCCTTGCCCTTGGGATCTTATTAGTTCATGGCTTTGTCTAAGACTTTAGAATGATTTTTCCAAATTAATATACTTTTCCACATCCAAATGTGTTCTCATTCTCTGAAATGTTTAATATTACAGTTGAAAATACCTTCCAATTCTTGTTAGATGAATCTCAAAGTACAGTGCTGGCTTTAAAAATAGATCTGAACTCTAATATAGAGAGATTGCAATCAGGATATTTGCCAGCAAGAATGGTACAGGAGATGGTTAAATAGAAAGTGTACTAAAGAATATGTTTCTTTGATATGATGGGTGGATAAGTCTTTGGAGATGAAGATATTGATTTGTAAAATTCATTGGCATCATGGAGGAAATAATTTAAGCTATTTTAATTACTATTTAGCTTTTTGACATTCTGGTGTATAAAACCTAGGTCTAAGTTTGACTGGTAAGTGCTTTTAAACTGTAATAGTACATGAGATCCTAATGAGATAATTGACAATGTGAAATAAGAAGAAAAGGGCTAAAGGTGTAGGGGAAGTGGGAAGGTTAGGGGAAAGGTAATAAGGGAAAAGAGAAAATATGAGAAAATGAAAAAATGGAAATGAAGTGTTTGTAAATGGGAAGGGAGGAGGGGGTGAAGGGAGTGCAGGGACAAGGGGAAAAAATGAGAACCAAGACCTGTCATGTAAAGGTACAAAATCCCAATAATGAATGTAACTATACTGTATACCTAAAATGTACCAATAAAGTCAATTAAAAAACTACCTTAGGTTTATCTCATGCAATTAGCAGATTTGCACTATTATCAAGAAATATCAATTATTTTACTTCATGTCAAAGTACTACCACTCCTGGGGTGGGCATGCAGAATGTTGTCAACAGGGTCTTCTGCGGTTATGAAAGACATGAAAATACACACGTGGTCTTTCATTTCATGGAATTTGGCAACTCCACATCAGAAATGTTGGGGCGCAATCTGGCTAAGCCTTGAAAGTAGGAATGAGAAACCTAATTCAAAGCGGAATGAAGGTGATAATCTTTCCAAGGAAGGAGGAAATTGATGGATTAAACAAAGATAATTAAACCTGATTAGTCAATCTAAAGATATAAAATAATTTAATTATAGGCAAAGAAAACAGAGAAGGTATTAGGGAGGAAAAATAATTCTTGAGTAAAGAATTGCTTTTTAATAGTAAGAATTTAAGAGTTTTGTAAGGTATTTGATTTATTCTTTATAAAATTGGATACTAATAATGGTTACACTGAATTAATTTTATAGTTGCATATTCTATTCTTAAATATATAGATACAGAAAATAAATATATAGATTAATGATGATTTGGGAAAGAAAATTTGGTTAAGTAGCCCTAATATTAGAAAAACACTTAGCTGTTAAAAACTTTGTTCTCATTTTACATTTCCAGGAAATATATTTTCTATTAGTGAGTATTGATTTCCTTCTTTCTTTCTTTTTTGGTACCAGGGATCAAACTCAGGACCTGTGCTTGTGAGGCAGGTGGTGGAACCACTGAGCTAAATCCCTGGACCATTGATTTCCTTCTTTCTTTACTTCTTGGGTCAAATCCTAGAGTTCTAATAAGCGGGATTTTTTAGGATCCTGTTTAGGATAAAGCATATTCTAAAATAGAAAAATAAGTATAGACATGACTGTGGGAGCCACTTCATGTATTCCCATGAATTTTCTGTATAAGCATGAAGAGATTACACTGAAGAGGGAAGAGCTATCTTTGGGGTTATTTTTGTGATGCTGGGAATTTAACCCAGAGCCTGTAGCAGGGAGCTATACCCTCACCCACAGCTCTCCTTTTATCTGAATATGTACAAAAAGGAGCTTTCATGGACTCCTCTAAAATCCTTGTCAACACACCCAAAATATGATTCTCCTTTTAGTCAATACTGCATTTTTTTACCTAAGGCAATTTTGAAAATATATAGACAAGATCTGACTATGAAGTAATGAGTTGTAATCTTCCCATGAGGATAAATTTTACTACTTTATGATCTTATTACCTGTTTTCAATCTAGTTTTCCGTATTTGATGACTGATTTTTACAAGAATTTTAGTTGGAACACATAGCAGTAAAGATACTACATTTAAAAACAATTATTCCTCTTCTGAGGCAAAGCTGGGGGTAAAGGATTAAATATGGCTCCTTCTCCAGACTTCATCTTCTTTAGAAGATTACACATTGGCATTTAGATTGTTCTCACTTCCAATGAATACAGAAATTCTTCACTTTGTACGGAAGCAACCATCCTCAGAATAAAAGTATTTTACCTAATACATGATAAAAGATTTCCCACTCAATTTTCATTTCATCAATAGCGTAAGACTTTAACATAACATTAATTATGTCACAAATTGAAAAACATGGGAAAATAGATTTTAAGAAGGCAAGCATTCTTCCCTGATGCTCTTTTTAAAAAACTCAACATTTTCCAATTGTGAGATACTGCATTTTGATTCTGAAAACTTAAATTGGCTTAGAAGCATGTGGGCTATAAAATGTTCATACATACCTTGATTCATGTCAAGTGAGAGAGGAGTTGAAAGACTGCAAGAAATTAAGATACCACTTTGAAACCCACCATCTGAATCATTTTTACTATATAGAATATTGGTTACAATAATGCTTTGATTTTTAAGTCAAATGTCTAAAGGGAAAAAAAATTTTCAGTTTTCATGAAGCAATAAAGTGGGTTAAAAATATTTTCCTTAATAGAAGTCTACAAAATATTCACTTTGAAGCAGTCCATAAAGAAAACATGTGAGGGGCTGGGGATTTAGCTCAATGGTTCCACCGCCTGCCTGGCAAGTGCGAGGACCCGAGTTCAATCCCCGGTACCAAAAAACAAAAAACAAAAAAAAAAGAAAACATACATGTGATGTTTTTATTGGCTCACAGATCAAGTGATAAGCTCTACTCAAGAGAGAAGAGTGTTAGCACGACCATACCTTGTCCTTGGGTTATTCCATAAAATTCAGCCGCTATCCTTGCCGCTTCTTTTCGGTTGCCTTTCACAATGTAGAAATGACTGAGGATGGCAAGACTGATTTTCACAAAAAGCTTAAAACAGAAAAGCGAAAGTATTGTAAAGTATACATTGGATAATTGTTGAGCAAATGGTCGGCTTTCTTCTAACACCGACATCGCTGCAGAACAGTCTGTGGCAGGCAAATCTCTTAGATCCAAGTCTCAGCTGTGCCTGGCTCTGGTCTGGGATGCTCCTGAACAGCTGGTCCTCAGGAAGGAAAATATCAGCTGGTCATGATGCCTACAGCTCAAAATATTTATAGTGTCCATAAGAGCTCTTCACAGTCTCCTATTGGTCTGACAAAATTCCATGGAAGCAACTGCATCACGTTTGGTAAGACTCCTGACTTTCCATTCTAGATATAAAATAATACCCCACCTCTCTGCTCTGCATGTCAGGATCCAGGTATTGAAATATCTGGATAAATACACTTATTATTTACCTTTTAGTGTGCAATTATAAAGAGCAATTTGAAGATTTTATGCATGGGGTTGCCATGGTTCCTGTAAATAATATTAACAATACTGAAGAAAAAAATGAAGTCTTTTAATTATTTAGTTTTAAAGTAGTACTATTGGGCCAGGGATTTAGCTCAGTGGTTCCGCCACCTGCCTCGCAAGGTCTATCCCCCGTATCAAAAAATAAAATGAAATAAAATGGTAGTATTTGTAGACCATAAGCTATATCAGAAAATAGCCTGTTAGTTGAATTTTAAAGACTACTCCTCAGATTAGTGAATTATGTTGTTTTCACTGTTGCTAGATAAAAACTTATTTTTCTTACAAGTAGTTAGACTGGATTATAGATGAATAGCGTCATACTGTATGTTCACCCAGCAGACACTTTTTAAGTATCTGTTTTGTAGCAAATATTTTTGATACGCTGGTGAGACAATGAATGGAGCACTTCCTTCCCACAAGGTTCTCACAGTATAGAAAAGTAAAAGACAAAATACTAGAAAACTGTAATACAGTTCATACAGAATAGCAGTTGAACAGTCACTAACTGGATCCATTATGGCATTTCATCTGTGCTCTGGGAATCAGTGAAAGCTGTCCTCAAAGTAGTGAAGGTAAATTAACTGCGTTACTCTCTCTCTCATTAGCATCGAAGCTGGGCCAAATGTGTCAGGGAATTCATGACGTGGAGGCTCCAGTGAGTCTCCCCTCTGGCAGGGTGGTGCCTGACCGCACAGAGGAGAGCTTTGACCACGGACAGCTGGCCCATCACAATGCTCTGAGTCACTGCATGACTGCTACGCCAGGGCTCCGGAATCAGAAATAAACCCACCTTAGTCACAGCTGAGTGCCAGTCTAGGGTTTCACTTTTTTCTCTTTACCAGTAAGTGCTATTATAAATAATGATCTCCACATTACCGATCAGAACCTGGATTCTTTGGGGCTAAGAAACATTTCTATTTCATTAAGTATGTTGTCATTTGAGCATCAACTTTCGATCCTCATAGTTTCCCTAGTAAAATAAATATAATGTCCCATATTTAGAATTTAATATCAAGGTATCAAGCTTTTATTTTTATAAATTTCTTGATTCTCACTTTTATTTTTATTTCTAACAATAAACTCTTCCTCCATAAATTTTACCATCTATAAATCTTTTAATTACTCAAGTATAATTAAGGGCAAATGAAATAACACATAGTAAGTAAACTCTCACATACAAATCAGATGCCATGTTTTTTATATTATAGCTTCTTTCAAATACCATCTTAAGTAGCTCTTAATTTTGAAAAGAAATACGGAAAGTATTCTGCATATATTTTTATGGCATTAGTGCTTTCTTAAAAAATAGAAATTATTAGAAATATAAGTAGTTATTGAGATAAATGCTCTTAAAAATTACCAAATTGAAAGGATGTAGTAGAGGTTTTAGTTTGATTAGTACAGTACATCCCAACAGTTTTAACTCATCAAATCAAAACAGAAATTATGTTAATTATGTTAATAGGTTAAAACAGTATGTTAATAGGCTGGATAATGTAAAAGATGTTAAAAATAGGGAGAAATCACTTACTGTGGGTCACTGTTTGTTATATTATATGTAGTTTGTATACATTTGCCATTTAATTTCAACTTAGGGTGGTATTATTGCTATTTATCTTTTAAAGATGAGAAAAGGTGTTCACAATGCTTTAGTGATCTATAAAAGTTAGTTATAAGCAACTGCATAATTTGAACATAGTTCTGTCTCAAAAATATATTTTAAGTTACTTTTAACCCTTCCTTCCTTCCTTCCTCCCTCCCTAGCTCTTTCTCTTCCTTCCATTCATTTTGAGAAAGTCTAAGTTGGCCAAGCTTTCCTTGTATTTGTAATCCTCATGCCTCAGCCTCCCAAATAAAAAATTATTTTTTTAAGTATTTGTACTTAACAAATATAATCCATGCCTATAGAGACTGAGACAGTGACAGAGCTTCCCAGAAGAAGCCATCAATATAACTGTATTTAATTAGGGAGCTTAATTAGTGGAATAGGCTGTATCCAGCTATGATGATTAAATGGGATGGAAACTTTCATGTGCTCCACACATAGGAATAAGGGAGAAGGGGAATGTTTCCTGCTAAGACTAATATTTTGAGGTCATCCAAGTGAAGGGTTGGTGAGCAGTAGCATTAAAGTAAGGCAAGGGAAGCAGAAAAGGGTAGTCAAAACTCAGTATGTTAAAAGCACTATGTTTAAAAGAGGATGAAATGAGTAAGAATAAAAGATCATAAAAAAAGTAAAGGGTATTAGTTCTGGCCAGAAGGAGTACACTGATAACATGTTAACTCGATGTCAAATAAGATAATAGAACGGGACCGAGGATATCACTGTTGAGAGAATGAGCCTTTAAAACAACTTCCGCAGAAAGATGGCTCCTTGGCTCTCTCCTATCACAGCCTTCCTCAGGACATTCTCCGTTTTGCACTGCAGCACAGGCATCACAGAAACTGCTATGAGGGCAGCTTCCGGGATCCCACCCTTGCTCCTTTCTTGTCTCCTGTCACACTGCTTCTCTGTCCCAGGGTATTATATTACATGAACTGGCAACTGGGGGTAACATTTTAGGGATTTAACTTTCATGACTCTTAGAAGTAGAATATGATAATGCCTTGTATATGTGACCAGATTAGCCTTTAAATTCTCATAACAGAGAGAGAGAAAACTTCATCACTGGAAATTACAGCCCTCGACCTTTTGACTGAGCTACAATATTAATCCACTTTATTTGATCAAAAATGTTAGTGGAAGGTCATAAAAGTTGCCTTAAAGGTTAGTGGGCTCTGGTTGATAAATCTTACCGTGAGTGAAATATGGTGGCCCCACTAAAACTACCTCTTTAAAAATTTTTATTGTACCAGGGATTGAACTCAGGACCTTGCACTTGTGAGGCAGGCAGCAACACCACTGAGCTAAATCCCTGGTTCAGTAACCATTTTATTTATTTATTTATTTATTTATTTATTTATTTATTTATTTATTTATTCTCATTGAGTTTACTGCTACTTTTTAGGTATACAGTACAGTTACATTCATCATTGGGATCTTGTACTTTTACATAACAGGTCTTGGATCTTATTTTTTCCCCATATCCCTGCCCTCCCTTCACCCCCTCCTCCCTTCCCTATTTACAAACTCTTTTTTTCCATTTTTTTGTTTTCTCATATTTTTCCTTTTCTCTTATTTCCTTTCCCCTACCCTTCCCACTTCCCCTACACCTTTAGATTTTTTCTTCCTATTTCACATTGTCGATTATACCATTTGGATCTCATTTACACTTTTAGTTTTTCACACCAGAGAAACTATTCAGCATTTACACATGTGACTTATTTATTTCACTTAAGAGTATGACCTCAATATCCATCTATTTCCTATGAATGACTCTAATTTCTCATTCTTTATGACTGAGTGGTATTCCACTTTATAGAAAAAACACATCTTTATCCAGTCTCCATCTGATGTGCATTTGGGCTGTTTCCAAGTTTTAGCTATTACAAACTGCTGCTATAAACATGGGTGGGCATATATCACTGTGATATTATTCTTTTAATTCTTTTGGGAAGATACCCAACAGAGGGATGGCTGGGTCAAATGGAACCTCTAGTCCCAGCTCTCTGAGGTATCTCCATATTGATTTCCATAGTGGTTAAACCAGTCTGCACTCCCACCAACAAAGGAGAGGGTCCCTTTCATCCCTGCCAACATTTGTTATTGGTTGATGTCTTGATAGTAGCCATTCTTTGTGGGGTGAGGTGGAATCTCAGTGTTGTTTTCATCTGTATCTCTCAAATGACCATTGATGTGGAACATTTTTTCATATATTTATTTGCTGCTTTTACTTCTTTGTCTGAGAAATGTCTGTTCATTTTAGATACCCATTTTTGAATTGGGTCCTTATATTTGGGGGGCCTGATTTTTTTATTTCTTTATATATTCTAGATAATAGTCCTGGTACAATTTTTTCCCACATTGTAGATTATCTCTTAGTTCTGTTGATGGTTTCTTTTGCAGTGCAGAAGCTTTTTAATAAGATGAGATCCCAGTTGTTGATTCTTTCTGCTAGTTCCCGTGCTACTGAGGATTTGTTCATAAAGTCTTTTCCTGTGCCAATGTCTTCAAAGGTTCTGCCTAACTCATCTTCCAGGAAATTTAGTGACTGTTTTTTAATATTTATATCTTTAATCCACTTGGATCTTAGTTTAGTGAATGGTGAAATATAAGGGTCAAGTTTTAATCTGTGGCAGGTTGAAATCCAGTTTTTCCAACACCATTTATTAAAGAGGCTATCTTTCCTCCAGTGAGGATGGTTGACTCCTTTGTTAAAGATGAGGTAGCTGAGTAGATCTGGAGCTGTTTCTATATCTTCCAAACTATTCCACTGATCCTCAGGTCTTTTTCTTTGCCAGTACCATGCTGTTTTTACCACAATGGCTTTGTAGTATGGGAATTTGAAATTTTCCATGTGTCTGTTGCCTAGGATGGCTTTTGCTATTCTAGGAATGACCATTTACTTTCATTTATTTATTTAATTTATTTTTGGTACCAGGGATTGAACTCAGGACCTTGTGCTTGCAAGGCAGGCATGGTACCACTGAGCTAAATCCCCATCCCAATGACTCTTTATTTTTAAAGAGGTGTGATCTGTTAGAAATATAGGAGCTCTAATTGCCTTTTTAAATCTTGTCGCATCCCCCCACCAAAGAAAACCAAAACCACAAAGACATTTTTCAAACAAAAGAGTTGCTATTGTTCAATAAAATGGCAAACATCTCCCTAGTTCTAAAACTGGGTTGCTGAGGATGATTTATACTCATTGAATGCAAATTAAGAAAAGTCATTTTTCCATAAATGTGAAGATCATTGATGATTGATAAAATGAAAGGGAAAAATTACTTAAGCTATTATTGCACTAAGTCACCATGGAAAATATAATCATTTTTTTATTGTTTTTGTGATGGCTATGAGAAAATATAAAGGTAAATGAAATCCTTTGTATTTAAAATATGCTTAAGACTTAGATGTTTAGAATTCATAGAAATTTTAAATAAAAACAAATGTTTATTCTTCAAGTTGAAATTCTTAAATAAAATTAATTACTGAATTTAACCTTATCTTTATTTTATAGATTCTGTTTAATTTACCTTCACTTAACCAAAAGCTGTACACTTTTGTAAATAGACACTTCAAGAAAGTAAAACACAGCACATTGTTGTAATCCCTGACACACTTACACATTATGATATCATGCTTCTGTCATAAACAACATGTGTACAGAAGATCTATAGGTTCTGGTGGCTCAGAAGTACATTAGATTTCCTTAGTTATCAATTAAAGATATACTCTTATAAAGATTTTTAACCATCATAATTACATTTTATATTGTTGGTAGGGAGAATTTTGGTAAAAGCTGTTCTATTTGATTTTACTAGATGGCAGTAAATGCTTGTTTGGCCTGTAGCCACACTTTCAGTACAAGGGAACAGTGTTCTCTAGCATTATGATAATCCTTAATAAATTATTTACAAAGTCATCATTAACTTATACTGCATTCAGGCTCTGTGAAAAATCATTGGCTTCCTCTAAAATGCAGAACAGTTTCTATTCCAAAAATTACGTTGTCTCAAATATCACAGTTATAATCTGCC